TTAAATATAGAAATATGTAAAATGAACATTAAAATAGGTCTCTGTTGAGTGTTGTCTATTTGAAATACACACACAACACTTCCCCTAAGTTCCCATAACTGCTATAAGTTTATATAGTCGGTCGTCATACGAGCACATAATATTAAAATTATTAACATCCCCACTAGGCCCACTGGCCATTTGTTTTTTGTAACTAAGTATCGTCTCTTCCCAGAAAACTGAAAACCATCTTTATAACAATGACAATTTAATCCAAATGTAAAATCTCACGTGTGGTCCGTTGTATTGAAGCACCAAAGCCTAACCAAAACGGTATGACGTTGACGACTTGTCATCTATCATTGTTGTCGGGTCGAACATTATCGCAGGAAATCCTGTCCTTCTGCTGCAGCTCTCTGACCTTTGGAAATCCTAATTTAGAGACCAAGCCATTTATCGCGATCCTTATCCAAACTAGATTTTGATTTTGACCATTTTTTTTTTTACCACCTACAGCCATCACAGGCTTTCATTCCTCTGTTTTATACTTGACGATAGGTATATCTCACACATTATCCTTCGTTGTCATCATTATATATTATGCGTGCATCGCATCGACCTTGTCCGGTCGAGGAAATAATAAAAACTTTTCTACATATTATTTGAATGACATGTACATATTATAATTTACCCGCAAAGAACATATTTATGGAGTGCGATTACAGTTTTGAGTTATTCTATATATTATAATAAGACACGACTGCTAAAATACTAGATAAATTATATAAGACATTTATTTATCAAGAAATTATACGATTTCTGGGTAATGATATATCCACAAGTTTATAACAACAATTTGGGCAGATCTAGTATGCTGATAAGTACCCCAAGTCGAAGCGCCGCTTGTGCCACATTTCAAAATTATAGGATTTTTCCCTTGATGATAGTGATCAAAAATACGTTTAAAAGCCCCCAAACGATGGTAGCTCATGAGCCAAGTGCCCTTATGGCGTGTGTTATTGGTCCGATTAGTCACGACGACGTCGGTCACGGATATACTGTATTGTAAATAAAAACCATACACGAGTATAATAGTGTATGTGTGTGTGTACACAGGTCTAAAGGATTGTAGTATTAAAAAAAAAAAAAAAAAAAATACCGGAAGCGACATGTAAAATGTAATATAATATATATATATATATATTGTAGACAAGGTCGTTATCTTGCTCCAATAAGTAATTAGTCGGTATCGTTCGCCTACGCCTTATAATAATAATAATAATAATACGGGAACACGCGGGTCCTAATCTGGTCCTAACCAAGGTCTAGCCGGACAGGAATGTGTTTGTTATATTATTATGTACCTATGTAAAAAAAAAAAAACTGTCAGAATGGATATCGGCTCGCCGACGGGTGTGGCTTTTCCCTTTAAAATAAGACGTTAAACTATGAAAAAAAAAAATATTTACATCCTCTTCCCGTTTGTAAAACGTTTCCACTTGTAAGCGCTGTTTAGCTGAAAGCAATTTAAAGTAAGTCACTCATTTTGCAATTTTATGGCTTTTTTCTTTTTGAAGAAACTTTAGTTTGGTATGTTATATTTTTACAACATTAGACAATTTTCGAATTTTCATCTTTTTTTTGCTTTTAAAGTTCTGTCAATTTTTCAAAACTTTAATAGTAACGTATATTTTTAAATTCTTACTCCATTATTTTCCTGGAAAATGAACAATTTTCAGATTATTGCCTATTTGCAACATTGCCCATAAAAATGTCACTATATTCCATAAAACAATCAACCTTTATTGTTTCTTTTATATTACAAGTCTAATTTATTTATTACAAACCAAAACAATTTTTTTTTATCAAATATACAAATATTAACAAACTTATAATACTTTTAAATTAAGAGAAACCGGGAAAAATATTGATTAGGTCTTACTCATTTTTAAACAACAGCGGCGGCTGATATAACGGAACTATCAGCTGATCTGACATTTTTTTTAATGTCAAAAACTTCTTGATTTATCCGCTAGTTAGCACTAGTAAGATGAAAAATAACAAATTAAATAAAGAAATAGGAAAAAAAGATTGTTGCAAATAAGCAACATGGCGCATTGAAGGGTTAACGATAACTTTCTGATTATTTTGACCGGGGTCGATAACCAATTTTAATGAGTTACATTTTAAGGGTTTAGGGTTTAGGGTTCATAAGTCTTAAATATAAATTATCAGTAAAAACACACACATAAAACATTAATATTAAACGTATACAATTTAACAATGATACTACATTAGGCAAATAGGACACACATACTTATAATGGTAATAATTATTATAATTATATAATTACACGAGAAAGGTTAAATTTTGACCTCTGAAAAATTACATACAGACTACCGTTTACCTTGAATCGATTCCATCGACTAAATTCATTAAAATTTCAAAATATTTTACCATTTAATTTATATAATATGTTATATTCTTATTAAGCCATCAAGATAGGCTAAGTAGAAATGTTCACCTCCTCCACCACCTCTTCATGCTTTTCGGTAGAGGGTTGTCAAAAATGATACCTACGATTTTGGTTTAGATTATTATTAACGGTAACGACATAAATCCATAAGGAAACCCGTGGGACGTTGTACCTTGTGGGTTGTGTTTATTCAATGTATAGATATATTGTTAATGTGCACTTGCATACTATGGTAGTCGATGGACGGATAATATTATTACCCAATTACCCATGTCCATGTTGAAATAGTGTAACAACAATGACGTGTAATCTATTATAATGTAGTTCACGAAAAAGGTATATTACCCATTACTAATATAATAATGACTTAATAATACTTCAGCGATATCTTCAATTGAGTAAATAATTAGGTAGCTGGTATTCTATTATTGTCTGTGATGTATTATAGATTAGGAGTACTTACTGGGTTACTCTTAACGTTACTTACTGCTACATAATAGGTTTGTTGTGTGTTGGTGTGATTCAAAAATAAAAAATGTTTATATCTTTCAATTGTCGATAATATTCAAGAACAATTATCATACACCGTTGTACAGAGTTAGGCATGCGACTTGGCGATTTTAACAGTTACTATGTCTTGTTAACGTGACTTGCAATAGTGTACAGACCTCACCTGTGAAAATGTGATAGTAGTCATAATAAAAAAAAAATACAGTTCAGTTCGAAATATAAAACATATATTTTTTATTAGACTCGTTCGTGAATGAAATATGATAAAAGGTATTTGAAAATATTTTTAACCAGAGTCTGGCGTTCGCGTATAACATACATGAGTATAATAATATATTGTTCAGTAATTAAATATTTTTCGTTTTAATATTAAGATCAACGTTAACGTTGTATAACACCAACGAGTATAAAAAATACATAGACATTATAATACATTACTCACTGGCAATACCAATAAAATAATAATTAGTTATCGTTTTATAAGGAAATGACCGTTGAATAAATAAGCATAATATAATTAATAATTTTATACCTAGTGATGTCATGTCTAGTATGGGTTTTTCATTTGTGTGTTTCTATATCAGAAACTAAGATAAATAATGCGTCATTATTATAGATTAATGCAGACGTAACGGGGGTGTGTTTAAGTAGTTTTACTCCATTAAAATATAGAAAAACCACAATTTCCAATAATTACAATATATTTTTTTTATAATGTAAAATAATATCATAATTAATACGCATTACCATTTAGTTATACTTTGTACATAGATTAAATTTGTATTTAATCAATGCTTTGATATAAATACAAATCACTCAATAGATAATGGTTTAAACTTTAATAAATTACCTCGAACATTAAACCATGTGTATTTGTATGGTTATTTTTCCAAAATGATCTATTCAAATCTGAGTAGTCTTATTAGTTGCAAAATTTAAAACAAATCAGTAAGTTTGTGACTCTTATTTGAAAATCAATTGTACATTTTTCATTTGTCGAGTCCAGGTTTTTTTTAAACGTTTTCTCTGTTTCTGCCTCTCTTAGTTTTGTTATTGGTTTGAAGGATTTGGCGCCACGTTTAACATAATATTATATTATAATTATTGTAAATAATTTACAGATATTACACAAAAAAAACTCTGTAGTCATTAAATTCACCGTTACGCCTGGCCTTAGATTCTGTAATTTGGTCTAAACATAATCTTTTATTATTATAAGGAAGTCGTGAATGTGTAGCTTTTGGTGATAACACCGAATCTTATCGAATGGTGATTTTTCAAGGTTATGCTATCATGTGGAATAACATGATATAAAACCTGTCTAAAAATTCAAAATCGGCTCGTACTAAATTATATGGTATTAAGTAGAATAAAAAAATAATAATCGTTCAGAGGTTATTATTTAACTCGGTGAACGTGTTTTATGTTTAGTCGAGAGAAGGAGTGGAGGTGTTTGACCCAAAGCCGTACTTGGGAAGCGGCCAACACAGTTGGGTATGTCGGAATGCATCCTTTTTCGTGATATTTATTTTTTATTCTTAGCTTCGATGCATAGCTAAGATGGTGTTGTTTCATTGGGTTTTCAATTACTTTATTTGTTGCGATATCTTCTTAACTGCTCAGCCGATTTTTTATTTAACAGATGACAAATCGTACCCGAAAAGTACCTGTATAGGGTGCCACATTATACAACAACATCCTGTATAACGTGTAACAGGTTAGGGTTTAACGTCGGTTTTAATAATCAAATAATCAACTATAGTTGTATAATTTCACTTGAATAAGCATTTTGTCTGAAGGTCCAGATTTGACGATTTGATTGATAGAGATTAGCTAATCTCTAGGCTAGTGAGAGTCAAGACAAGGAAAGGGAAGGAAAATAAAGTGAAAGGGGTAGTGAGCGGAAGGTTCCTTATCGAACATAAAATTTAGGAAGAGTCAGCTGATCATAAGACACAATCATGATGCACTGAGCATTTCCTTCGACCTTGTTGTTTGAACAATTTAGTTCAAGATCGGTTTTGTATGCTTACAGGTAGTTCACCTAGATAGATCACCATGCATTACAAACACCAGATTGTCGTCTTGGCGGTTGCCGGATGCTTTCTGGCAGCGTGCGGGTACGAGGCAGGAGCCCCGGCTCTGACGTGCCGCACCATGGTGCCCGGCCACGGGGAGGCTGCCCAAAATTCTCCTGCTCCTTACCGGGTTATACCTTCGGAAAACGTCACCTCTTCCAGAATCAGAGTGACCCTGACCGCGCCCAAACCTAACGACTACTTTGTCGGGTTCCTATTACAAGCGCGCGCTCCTGGCGGAGGCGACAACGCCATCGGATCATTCGTCCAGGTGCCACAAGACTCGCAGACTCTCGACTGCAACGACGTACCCGTAAGTAGTCAAGAGAACAGCCCCATCTGACCGGCGTGGTTCAACGTTTTTAAATATATGAAATGTAAAACCTTTTGTACAGGGCTCTGGAGTGACGCACGGGAGCAATACGAAAAAAAAATCTGTAGAATTCGACTGGGAAGCGCCAAATAATTTCGACGGACAAGTCAATTTCTTGTAAGTTTAATAATTAAAATTCTCACTACTGGATTGATATGACATCGTTGACCGTGTCAACGCCCTGTTGTGGATCGTTGAAATAAATATTTTATACGTTTGATGTATCGCCGCAGGGCCACTGTCGTTTTTGACTATGCGACGTTCTGGACAGGAGTTATCTCGAATCCTGTTCAAGTTCGAGGATCGAGACAAGCGCCGTCGTTGGGAGGTCAGCGACAGCAAAACGCTAGAGTAAAAATAAAACCGACATTTTTATGGAATACTTGTTAATGTTCAACCTAAATGATGTGTAATTTTTTTTCCACAGGGAGTTAAAGAAATCGAAACGAACATTTACAACGAATGCGGAACAAGTAAGAACTGCGTAAGCTCTCCTCCCGGTTGTTTGCAGGCTGCCAACTGCCGGGCTGTGGTGGCCTTAACGAATTCTGGCGGAAGATATCAGTTTGAAATGCTGGCTCACGATAGCCGATTCGTAGCAGTTGGTCTGTCCGATGACAATAAAATGGTAATTATTTGGTAGAAAAAAACTAGTAGTGATCAGATCCTAATGCTACAATTTGTTTACCAGGGAGGCGACGGCGTTATGGAATGTGTTCACGAGGAAAGCAGCCGAGGTAGCAGTATTAATGCCTACAAATCTTGGAACGTACCCAACCGGAAACAAAACAGAAGAGTGGAGGATCTGTCCGGCGTCAATCTGGACAGCGCTGCCATCATCGACGGTGCCATTTACTGTAAAATATCCATTGATCCTATGATCAAGTTTGAAGAGAAATCGTACGACTTGGACAGGGACGAGCACTTTGTATTACTGGCCGCCGGATCTGCGTTGAAACGTATGAAGTTTGGTTTTTTTCCCCACCAAAACAGGATCAAAGGATTTTATTGGTTTTTTCTATTTTAGCATTCAGCGTCGGTTACCACGATGTTGCGTTCTCCAGCAGCGTGGATAAAAAAAAATTAAGTCAACTCAAAGCGGCCCGCGTTTACGATCCGTTCTACGACGATTGTGGCGAGACCAAGACGTGCTTTGGATCGCCAGAAGGTTGTCTGACCACCCAAGACTGTGTTGCCGTGACAGCCGTCAAAGTGGAAGGGACGAGATACATGTTCGAAATGAAAGCCAGGAATGCCGCTTACGTTGCTGTCGGACTTTCGGACGATCAAAAAATGGTAGAAAAACATATTTTTCACTCTCCAGTTTATCTAATTTCAAAAATATTTGATTGATTATGACTCGCAATCTTGGATTTCTTCCAAGACCATCTTGATCAGTTATCTCTTCTAATTTTTCTGCTATTGGAGCAACTCCTTAACTTCATCTTACATACTTGCACATCCTTCTTGAAATGAATCCTCCTTCTTGAAACAAGCTGGTATTTTCTTATCATTGTAAATGGCACCTCTGTGACACAACGATTCCGTTTGCTCTTCCTACCTAATTTAACCACTAATTCGTCTTGTTCCATACGAACGGAGTCGGCTGAGACGGTATCCTTTTCGTTTTGGCCACTGTTATTTTGCTTTAATTTAGGGAGGTGACAGTGTCATAGAATGTGTTCACGAAAACGCCGGCACGAACCTAGTCAAGTCGTATATGTCGTGGAATGTTCCAAATCAGAAAAGCAACAAGCGATTGACAGTGAGTGAAACAGCAACCGTCGGTACCTTTTTTTAAGGATCGAAATCTATGGGGGCTAATTCGTTCTTTTTATGTATGATTTCTATAGCAGAGTCAAAACGGAATAACTTTGTTAAATTCGTCGTACATAGACGACACGATATACTGCAACGTTGCTCGTGAACCGGTGACTAAAGTCGAAGGGGTTACGTTCGACTTGATCCGGACGAAATACAACTTGTTACTCGCTGCCGGTACATCGTTGAAAGGTAAGGAAAACCAAACCAAAAATCCGATTCCTGTCGGGTAATCAAATTCTCGTTTTGGGTCTTAGAGCGCAGCGTCGGTTACCACGATTTGGCTTTTACGTCGACGGCTGAAGCGAGTGCGTTGTCGGAAATCAAATCGCTCAGACCGTCTTCCAAGCTTCTGTTAAGGTTGCACGGTTCGTTCATGGTGGCCGCTTGGATTGGAGCGGCCAGCATTGGTATCGTCGTCGCCAGATACTACAAACAGACGTGGGTCGGCTCGTCCTGTTGTGGCAAAGACTTGTGGTTTGGGGTAATGCTGATGCACAAAAAAGATAAAACTACCGGCGAAAAAAAGCCATTAACACTTTTGTAATATTCTTTTTTTCCAACATTGCAGTGGCATCGGTTTTTGATGATGATAACATGGATTCTGTCTTTGTCCGGATCCGCATGCATATTTCTGGAACTCGGCGAGTGGGTGTCTGGTCCCAGTCAAACTCACGCACTCTTAGGGGTGGCCACCACTATATTGGCGTTTTTCCAACCGATTTTCGCCGCTTTCAGGCCACATCCGGATTCACCGAAGAGGCCGATTTTCAACTGGATCCATTGGCTAGTCGGAAACGCTGCACACATCCTCGCAAGTGAGTCGGTCGTACATACTTACCGATTTCTCAGAGATACCTGTTTGAGAGACTCAATGATCGTCTCGATCCAGGGCTCCTTTAGAGGAGCACCGTACAGACAGACAAGGTCTCCTTGAACGTGATTAGAGTGGGCGAAAGAGGAGGGTTCTGATGATAAGGAATAGCGATTTCCCTTACTTCTCATTGTCACTGTCCATAGATATAAAAATCAGCTAGATGGTAAACTGTGATTTATCACACTTATTGGTGTTATTGGAAAAAATAGTTATTACTGGTATAACTGTTTTTGTGTCCAACTACAATTTGCTAACAAAACTGTAATATATTTCAGTCTTGACGATATTTTTCGCCGTCACTTTGAGCAAAGCCGAACTTCCAGCGTGGGTAGACTGGATCTTAGTAGCGTACGTTGGCTTTTACGTGGTCATTCATTTAATTCTATCTGTAAGTATTGACTAATGTAGACAGTTTTTTTTTTTTGTTAATCTTCTATTTATAATACAATTTATCGTTTTTTTTTTTTTTTAGATTTCTGGTTGTTTAAGTGAAAAATCCGGCAGTATGCGTATCAACACGTTCCCAATGAAAGATCTTCACAACGGAAGGAATTCAATGAGTTACGAACAACACAAGGACAATCCCGTAAGAAACCCAAAGACAATAACAATATTATATCATCGAGTAAAAATATATATAATATGGAGGTTTAAACACGAGTATCAAAAGCATGTGTGCAGTAACAGATGATTTTAGGATTAGAGTAGGTGTCAAGTTGGATTCTGCTTTGACACGACGGTGTATGCAAAGATGATGGGGGAAATCACGTCGAGTGCAGGTTTAAAACAAGGGTGGCCTACTTCAAATAGCCGGGATGAAGAAGGCGGAGGATAAGAAGAATTAAATATGTATAGAGCTGTAATATCGTATAATGCATTGTACTCAACAAATAAAGTAATCAGGCAGGCGAGCAATTGTGTGACTTAAAATACAAATGAATACTTTTTTTTTAATACTATTTAGTCTTTAATAGTGGAGCGAACCATGTATTATATTAATTATTTATTGATAACTACTTGTTTTCAATTTTAGCATTCCGGATTCCGAAAATTCTGGTTATTCATCCACGTTCTCTTCATTGTGCTGATAACCGCAGTTCTGGTGCTGATCGTTTTCTTCGCTCCGATTGAACCCAAACTGAATACGTTTCGCGACCAATTCAGTTGAAAAGCCACTCCTCGAGTTAATGTATTAAGTGTATTATAATATTATTATTTTTTGATTACTTTTTTGTATTATTTATTAAACCAAAACTATTGATTTTATCGTGCCGCCTTGGATTTGTTATAGTTAGTAGTTACCCTTTCCAGAATGTCTCGAGTGAGTTTTAATATATTAATCGTTATGCTATAGAATTTGTTTGTAGGAATTTAAAAATCAAAAGTAGTACAGTAAAATATTAATAACGTAAAAGGCGGACAAAATAGAATCTAAACAAATATGGAAAGTATTTAAAATTGATACATTTGAATATTTGAATTGGGTATTTTTTTTAAAAAATCTTGTTTATATTGTAAGGAATAATATTCAATTATTCACTAATAAACCTAATATATTTATTCTACTAGATACTAGAATACTCAACTCTAAATACTTACTCATTAATTTTTTTTTGCATTTTATTTACATGGGTAATTCATTTAAAAAAAGACATTAAAGCTAAAGCGTGTGACTCTTGAAAATCTTTCTTTTGATATTTCAACACATTTTTAGCAAGTGATCAAGTTGTCAGTTTTATCAGTTACAATGGGCTGTAAATTGATGAAAACAATCTGATTTCACAATCATGAAGTGATTAAAGACAAAATATGTGTATACATATTTAAATAAATAATGGGTTGGATAAAAAAATATTAAATCACCTTTACATTAAAACTAATACCTTTCAAACTTCAATACTCAAAAGGTAAGTTTATTTATTTTTATTACTTTATAGCAACACACTAAATTAATTGTTAGTCAAAAATCAGTTAAAAAACTAACACACGTTTCGCAAAAAAAATGCTGTTAAAATAATTATTTTTTTCGACTACTAATTTTGATTAAATAACCATTGTCATTGGTTGTGCAAATAATTTATTAATGTAACAATGTCGATAATATAGCTTTTTTTATAATAATGTATTCAATCATATATTTGCAACAGTAGCGTATCTAGGATCCACGGAGGGGAGTGGGATATACAGGTTTTAACAGCCATACCTATTCAATACAAACATATATTAATATTATTATACATGTGTTGCATGTAAACAAAAATTTGTATTCAGCAAGACATTGTATTTAAGTTGACTCGATCATTAAATCAATTAAATATTAAAAAAGGTTTATGCGATTTATGTAGTCAGCAAAAAAACAGCATGAATTGTTAACGTCGAATACTTAAACTACATTGCATAGCGTAAATTTAACTCTTTGATTTTGGCAGACCATTAGTTATATTTAGGAGAGCGGATAAAAAATTACCATATCAAATGAAAAAATATACATCACGTTTGAACTGTTTAAGCATGACACATTGTTCTAATTTACAATTTAAGTCATAAACTTATTAAGTACCAAAAGTAACGTTTGCAACTAAAATTCAGTTTTACAAGAAAAAAAAAAAAATTAATTAATTAAACTTGTGGAAAAATAACAGTCTGATTGGAGTTGGGGAAATTATAAAAGATGAGTTATCTCGATAATAATACAAATATTTATACATATATATATATTATATATATATATATATAACAGTCTGAGAATACAAAATTAAGACAACCGTTACAAGTTTTCATACCTACTATGTAATATAAAATACATAATTCATACATGATGTTTATCCAATGAATTTGAATTACACTATTTAACTGCTGTACCTACCACAAAATGTAATTGTTATTTTCAGGCTCGTCTCTTACTTAAGATAATAAATAAAAGATTTGCCTAATCGTCAACAATTAAATTAATATTTGTTTTTATTTTGGAAACTTATTTTAAACAGGTAAGAAAAAAAAAATAGTTTATAACGTATTTGTATTTTTATTCAATATTGTTATTTATACAGCAAATACAGAAATATTTAAATGTATACTTTATTCAAATTTAAGAACTACTCACATTGCAAACTCGTCTAACACACTTGGACATTATTACAACACTGTTTTACAAAGGAAAACACATGGATTCATTGAGCTCGTTCTTCAGCGGCAACCCATCCTTTTGGTCGTTCTTCATAAACAGTCCAATTCTTGTATGGCGTTCTGAAATCACCATGCTGCTGATGGCGAGTGGTTGGTATAGTTGGCATGATTTCGTAATTATTCAGTTTAGCATTTTTTTTTGCCATGGCGGCAAGGCAAGCTATCACACCTATCCATGTTGCGTTCAAATAGCTTTTAGTGAAAACGCCCAACATAAGACCAGATGCAAATCCGCCGAGTCCATAGTTTTTCACGTCGTCTTTATCACGCAGTCGAGTAGAGGCATAAGTTACTATACAAAATGTTGAAGTGACGGCCCACATCGGCGTCATTAATTGTCCATATCTATTTTGAACAATGTGAAACCAAATTAATCACTATTACAAACAAACTAATAAACGTTTGTAGTTTTAATATTACCTGAGTAAGGTTTGCAAGTAGCCCTTGGGCTTGCTGTTGAGAATAATATCCGTCGTTGCCAGTCCAAATCCGATTATAGTGACATTTTTGTTGGTGTAAAACAATTTTTTCGCTAAATCTTTACCGTCCGGCGAGTCATAATAACTGTATTTCATAATCGACATGGTGTTATTGTTTTGTGTAAAATTAACAACTATTACACTGACAAATAATTATTATTTACCCTTCAATTTTTTCTACCAAAAACGTAAAACAATATAATATTATCACAAATAAAAAACGTCCTAGCCTTATCAAAAGTAATCAGATGGTCAGTATCCCAAGGAGCTTACGGAGAATGATAACGAAAATTCCAAAGACTATACAAGCGCGAGACAGGCACGGCCTCCACGCCGAACGCGGTATAATAATATAATTATTTACAGTATTTTTAAAAAATAATAATAAGTAATAAAATATGTATTGTGTTGTACTTAGGTCATGCTTCATGGATGTACTAATATACAAGTAAGTACTCCAGTTATTTTCGAAAAAATTATTATGTAATGTCTGCTCGAAGAGAAGTAATCATTTGATGAATATCGATTTTTTCAGTGTTTGACTACATATTATTTTTTTATAAAATAGATATAGTTATGACACGTTACTTATACCTAATATTTACTGCAAGTACAATATTAGAAATCCCTCATTTTGTAGTTAGTGGATTCAAGTCTTAAAATCTCAATAGCGATAATAAATATTTAAATGAGTTGAATAAATAGCGGTTTGAAATCTACTCATGCTGAAATTTGTAGGAGCCACATAAAGTTTGACAATTTTTAATGAAAAAACTTTTGGAGACATCTCTAATTGGATCCTTCAAATGTGTTAATGGCAGGTTTTAGTAAACATTAAACAGATAGAACGCTATGAGTTTTGCACGAAAAACTGCTGTGATCTATTTTGAAGCCGACAAAACGGAGTTTATGTGCACCAAATATAATCAATATATTAGTTTATCAATTCAGAAATGTTTATAGACAAACGATCAACCCTAATCGTATCAATTAATATTAGCTCATAATAATTTGGTAGGAAGTATATTGTAACATTTATGTTTCAATAACAATGCCTTCATAATACAATTGTAAAACCTACACGTGAATTAATTTCAGACCCTAAGTGTTATACTTATAGTAATACTTAATCCATTTAACTTTTGCAATTAGAATTTTGTTGAATTGTATTTTTTACACTTGCAATTAGTACATAACCATTAAACAAAGAATAATAAATAATACTGATCGATAACAAACTATTGGACAAATATTGTTTGTACTGAATATTTAAAAAAAAAAATGGTAGTCAATATTACCATAATGTATTTTAATTTTATCCATATTGCTGCAATTAGTCTTGGGGCACCTAAAAATGTCTACATCCGGTCATGAATGATTAATTTTACTACTTTATATTCATTTAAAATCTTTGGAAAATATTATAGGGTTTTATCATTGTTATTATTTTTTCTAAACAAATAACAATTGCGTATTTACTTTCTTACGCGGAAACGTATTGAAAACACGTTTAAAGTTGTGTTATTTATTGAAATAAGAAAAAAACAAATTTTGGTGTGATGTTGTTTTGTATGCTTGTTTAAACAGTTACCTGTTTGTCATACGCCGTTGCACTGAATAAGAAATATATCCAAAACAACAGCTTAAATTGACCTAGTTATATTATCACTAGTGTCTAAAAAACATTAATAATTTGTATTATTAACAATAGTGTTAAATAGCTTTTCCTCCAGCCTATTTCTCAAAAAGCTAATAACTTAATAAATATTTGTATATAACTTGATATCGACCAGTGTTTATTTTTTCTAGATATTTATGATATACTTAATAAATAAACTACTAAAAACAGTACAATAATAAAACCTCTTGCACAATATTACATATATATTTCTTTTGAGTCTTATTTATCTTAAATTCGTGTCGATATTAGTAATAATAATACACAAAAAAAAAAATACTTAAAAAAGGCCTATCTACATTGTACTCAGATTTTTCTTATTATTAAAATATATTGTGTTAGTCGATCAATACACAACTACATAAACAATTTTACAAAATTGGAGTTTATCATACAATGATGTGTTTTTGAATAATTTGAAATCAAACATGCTTTTAATCGTATTAAAACATTTCAGGTACGAAATTCAACTTATTATTATTTACTGTAATTTCTGTTTTAGTAAATGGTCTAAGCACGTATTAATCCAAAATCGTGATACAAGTTTGTAAGCGTGTGTATTTAATGCATTCAAATTAGAAAGCAAGACGCAAATTGTTTATAATTTTACCAAAAAACACTCTATTTATTTTGTCGGTTTTGAACGACTTAAACTGAGACAGCCGGTTTAATGCTAATTTTTAAAAATGAAATAACAAAAAAAAAAAGTTTGAACTTACAGTACATAGTGTATGTAATAAAGTATTAGTATATTGTAGAATATAGTATTACATTTGGTAGCTAATTAAATAAACATTGTTGATAATAATTTTTGTTGTTACCAAATTTAGTGTCAACCATATTGACAAACGCTGCAGTTGCTCGAAAACTTTCAACGTGTCCGCAATTACGAGTTATTTCCATTATAAACTTTTGTGATACTTCCAAAATTTCATTGTACGTTTCTTGGGGTTGCGGCGCAATATTGAGGCATCCCTTAGCCACTGGTAAAGAGGAAATCTCTTTTTTAATTATTTTTATTATAGTGTTTTTTTTAATGAAAACTTGTTTAAACAAATTGCTCAACTCATAAAAAAAATGTTTCTGTTTCAAATACAAATTGTTATGAAATCTCATTAAAATATCAGCGAATTCATTTCTGCGAGAAAAGCCAAAAGGCAAAGCAACCGTGTAGCGCCATGTTAACCTCAGCATGATCACCTTTAACACATCAATAAACGTACGTTGATACACTGCAAGGTATTTGATTCCTTCCAATCCTACAATGTGACTACGTTCTCTGGTTTTTTCTAACTTTTCAATGGCATTGTCCCAGTCACGTTGACTTCGATGGTCTATTAAGAATTCATAAAAAAAACGACAATGATCATCATTAACAAAATATAGCTCAGATATAAAATCAATTGGAATATCAGTTTCCAATTGATCGTCATAACCAAAAAACCATCTTCTTTCGGAATCGATTAACTTGTTTACCTTTTGTTTATTAGTCTTAATAGTGTGAGAATGATGTTCTATTATTAAATCTTCATTGCCTGTACACGAATTAATTTCCTCGTTGTAGTCAATATTTTTTCCACAATCATTGACTCTTAAACAATTTTCTATTTGTGTAAAAACAAAATCGTGCATCTCCAAAGTCTTTTCAATGTCATCGTGCCCAAATAACTTTTTATTAACTTTGTCTTCGTAAAATTTGTTAATTTTATATGCATAAATGTAAACTAACCAAATGTCGTCCATTGGCACATTCTCATGATTGTCCAATAATCTTACCATTCTGGCGGCTTCATGTTTGAATGAAATAACGTCAACCGGAATGGATTCAATAACAGCAACATCCATATTAAAGGATATAGTCTTAGTGAGGTACATATGATAATGAACGCTGTGAAAATATGTACATATAAGTTTAAACATCCTCTGTGGCAGAAGATTAATTCGTTTTGTTGGTGACTGATGTTCAACGTTGGAATGTTGAATCGAGTGTTCATTGTTACCAAATTTAATGTCGACCATATGGTCAAACCCTACATTTTGATAAGAACTTTCACCCAATCTGCAATTGGAAGATAATTTACCAATAAATTGATTTGATATTTTCAAAATTGTCTTGTAATTATCTTGACGTTTCGGCGCAACCACGAGGCATCCTATAGCTATTTGTAAAGAGCATATCTTATTTTTTATCTCATCTCTTAAAGCGTCATTTCCAATGATAACTTGTTTAAGCAGACTACTCAACTGCAAAAAGAATTGATCGTCTTTCAAATGCAATTCGTCATGAAATTGTTTTAAAATGTCAGCGAATTCATTTTCACGAGAAAAGCCAAAAGGTATAGCAACCATGTAGCGCCACGTCAACCGCAACATGATCACCTTTAATGTATCAAAAAATAAGCCTCGGTATTCTGCAAGGTATTTGATTCCTTCCAATCCTGCAATGTGAGTACGTTCTCTGGTTTTTTCTAACTTATCAATTGCATTGTCCCAGTCATGTTGATTTCGATGGTCTTTTAAGAACTCATTAAAAAAATCGCGTTGATCATCTTCATTAACGATGTACAGTAGCGACATAAAATCAATTGGAATATCATTTTTTATATTATGGTCCTTTTGTAACTTACTACTTCTTTCTGAATCAATTAACTTGTTTATCGTCTCTTTGTTAGTCTCAACATTTTGGATCATGATTATTTGACTGTCACATGTATTTATCGTGTGAGAATGATTTTCGTTTCTTAAATCTTCGTCGCCTGTACACGAATCAATTTCCTCGTTATAGTCGATATTTTTTCCACAATCACTGACTCTTAAAAAATTCTCTATTTGTGTAAAAACAAAATCGTGCATCTCTAAAGTCTTTTCAATGTCATCGTGCCCGAATAACGTTTTATTAACTTTGGCCTCGTAAAATTTGTTAATTTTATATGCGTAAATGTAAACTAACCAAATGTCGTCCATTGGCACATTCTTTTCATTGCCCAATAATCTGACCATTCTGGAGGCTTCATGTTCGAATGAAATAACGTCAACCGGAATGGATTCAATAACAGCAACATCCGTATTGAAGAATATATTTTTAGTGTGGTACATATGAAAATGAACACTATAAAAATATTCACATGTCAACAAATCCGATGCAGCAAGTAAAAAAGTTATTTCAGATACAATGCAGAACATACTTATCCATAATTTAGCCGAAAACATTATCCTCCTGTCTTTGTTTTACAATGCAGTGTATATAAAAAACTCACCAGTCGAGAGATTGTTTGGAACTGAAATGAATTAATATATATATATTTTTTTCAATTCGGTTTACACCAGTTGTGTGAAAAGTAAAAAAACATATTATTATGTGACTCATAATAATATACGCTGTTTACAGCAAAAAATCTCTTTACATAAATTCAGGTGTGTTAGTATAACAAACAATGAAACGTGTGTGTATTTTATAGCTTTCTCGGAGCTTCAGTTACATGTAATTCATTTGTTCAAAGTTTGCTTTTGTCTTATCTTTTGGAAATGTTAGTAAAAGCATATTATTGACTATCAAATAGGGTTTTTTTTAAAAATAATTTTACAGAAAAATGTACCAATGCTTATAAAAATGTGGATTTAAAATAAAATTCCGATTTAAAAAACTAAAAATCTGAATTTGTGGTTTTTTTTTCAATTTAATTTTTGGTATTTAAATTTCAATTGTATTGCGAAATTATGTGTTTAACGTCATACTTATTTTACAGTATATATTTAAACATACTGAACCAAAAATACTGATTGATATGAAAACCTGGAATTTTGGAAATTTTACCAAATTCGTGTATCCTATCTTTAATAACTAGAATACGATTTTTTCGATAAGGTTTTGAGAACCAACGTTATATACTTAGTTTCACCTTAACAATGTTTAGATTATCATCCAAAAAAATAATCGTTGAAAATAACGAAAAAAACTGTCTGTCTTTGTTTTAAACGAAATCTGGAAATGAATTGGTGGTATAATTTTTTAGATTTTAGCTTTGGTGCGGAGCTGAGAAGGTATTGTTTTTACAATGATGTGTTTTTCATTAAGGAAAAACACCAAAAATAGGGTAAATTTACACTTTGGCCGTAGTCAGTTTCTAGGTTGCTATGTGTGTGTGTGAATCAACGGTCAACAGGTAATGAAAATAATTTCATTATATTGTTAATTACGATATATGAGTAACTATGACAGTAAATTTTTATAGACAGACGATCATCAACCCTTATCGTATCCACCCTGCACAAGACTAAATATTAAATTTTAAGTACATTATTGCTGGTCCTGCGATATCTTCTAGACCGCTATAACCGGTTTGAACATACTATCCACAGATTCGCATCGAAGCGTTTATTTAAAAGTGATTTCATCACTTTCAGTTATAATAACAACTGTAGACCTGTGACCTCTCCGTCCCCACTATGCCCCGACCCCATTGTACTGGCCTTTTTTTTTAAATCCAAATTTGACAACGTTTTGTAGACTTTTTTCGTTTTGTAGCTTTTGTTGATATTTTCATCCATTGTCGGTGGTCGCCTTTGCGCGCTGCGATGACAACACAATAGCCAAATAGGTACTTTACTATAATATTATATTATTACAACGTGTGCGCGCGGGGACATCCGGCACGCATTGTCCGTTTTTTAAACAGCCGCGGTCTATGCGTCTAAACCTTTGCTACTTACTACGCACGGTGCGCGTAGGAAGGAAACGCAGACAGGAACGGGCGCAAAGGGAAACGGGACGGACGAATACAGCGATTGGCACTCAAACAGTGTACACACACCGTCCCGTCGACTGCCGCGGGAACGCGTTCATGCTGTCAGTGTACGCCGGGACGCTCTACCGTAGCCGCGTATCCCGTTTTATCCCGTTTCATCCCGTTTTTTCGACGTTTACCGAAACGTTTAAAATAACAAACAACTATATTATAATACGTATATACAATTTGAGTCTAACCGATTCGCTGTTTTCGATAATAATAATAATGAAATTAAAAAAAAAAAATGTGTTTATTTCGAAAAGTTAATTAACTATTAAATCAAAAAGGTTTCAAAACGTTCGCTATTGGTGCGATTTTTTGTTTAAATTTGTTTTTGACTTACGGAAGACACTGGGATATATACAATTTCAAAAAAACAAACAAAATAAATAACGGTGAGTGCGATGTACAATAATATTTACCTGGCTTATTAACGGGGTTTCCGGTAAAAAAAGTAAATTTATATTATATAGTTATACTTTTCTGTTTCAGTGATATCTTCACAAAATGTTTTTTTTCCTAATTACTATAACTATTAATAACACTACGATCAACAAACGAAACCGTTGGTCATATAGAGTGAAAATAAAAAATATAATCTCTTAACTGAATATCTTTGTTGTAGATTTGTTTGGAAATTACCGGTGGAAATCTAATTAGTAATTTTATTAATAATTAGTAAAACCTATAACTTGAGATCACTCAATGAGTTTTTTTAATACGCATTTTTATTTTCTGTATCCAATACATTTTTATTGGAACTGGATATGTACAAATATATTTTATAGTTTTTCATTGTCATCAAATAGGCTACCCTTGAGAACACATTATTTTATTATATTACTTTTTGTCTTATTGACCAAAATATCCAAACCAAATCTCCAATATACTCTGAAACATACCGAGACCCGCGATAACGTCTTGACGCTTACATTGGCCAAATATGTTAGTAAAAATGAATTATAAAATCCTAGTAGGCCGGCTCTTGTTTACTCTTTTTTGGGGATTTTTTCTAATTGGGTTATAAGTTTCTAAATATATTCTTCATGACATATATGTGTAATTTCTATAAAAAAAATCAGTTGATCCGATAAAAATGATTATCCACCAAAGTGATTTTTGTACTATATTATCAAAATTTACTAAAAACTATCGATAAGTATAAATCACATTTATGATTTCAAAGGGATTTGATTGATTTTTTATACTTTTAGCCTTATTGTAAAACATCCATTTAATCTAACCATTTTCCACTAAGCTGCAAGCATGTCCAAAACCCAGGAAATTGTTTTAGGTTTTTATAATATCCAATATTAAGGGCGAACAAGAGGATTTTTCAACTGATTCTCAATTGACCTCCCTAATAGGATTTTAGACCTATTTTCCATGTTTATCAAAGAAACCATGGGCAAAATTTTTATTTCTCGCCTGTAAACTAGTTATTGGTTCTAAATTCGTCTAGTTTTACTATATCACTAAGTAACCTAGTTTTAAATATACACTTTTATAAGTCAAATATCAACTATATTCTTCATATTATTATATGTTTCACAAAATGTTACGAATAAAATAATATAATATCTACACACATGTAGTATATAAAATGTAATATTACAAACATTTAATAAATCACCTATCTACAATAAGGCAAGGTACAAAAGTACATATTATACAATATATTATGTACTACATTCGGATTTTATTTTTCATTTGAAAAAAAAACATTTTTAAATAAAATAAAATGACATCAAAACTAAGTAAAATATTGTTAAACTCAAACGGTTGAATTTTACAAATATGGAAAATGATGGTCACTTATTAATATTTTATGTTGTGGGTAGTAATTATGTGTATTGTAGTAATCTAATTTAATTTGAGATTTAAAGTCATATTTTACGTTTAGTTTAATAAAAATATATTTAACCTAAATTAATTAACATGCTATGTATGTACTATGTGTACAGCTATAAAATAAAATTATATATTTGGCTCTCAACGATTCCAAATAAATTACAATAGAAAGTGAATTCATGCATTTATAGAAATTAACGCTCAAAGAAGTTTCTCTAGATGACTAATTAAACATTTTTATTAGCTTTTTTATAATTTTCCGATTTAAACTTTAAAATTTATTCAAATTAACCAACCATCCAAATAAACTAACGAGCCACTTTATAGCCTCCTAAAGTATACTTGAATAAAGTCCACATTACAAATTGTGGTGATTTACCATTCGTTTACAAATTTACAATACAAATACTCAATTAGTACCCAAGTACCAAGCGCATTATAATAATATGACCGCAATCAGAGTTGTGCAAATTATAATTATTTAATAATTAATTCGAATAAAACATTATGACGAAGTACCCCTAATGTGGATTTTGAGATAAGAGGGGCTTGCATAAATAGTAAAGAAAAAAAGGGAAAATTTAACGGTAAACAAAACGCTGAGTTCGCTTAAATGACTTTTGATATTTGGATACTATGTTTAATATAAAATCAACTGCTATCATCGATGTAAATGTTATTTAATAGGAAAAAAAGATATATATATATATATATATATATATATATATTACATATAATAACAAATCGTTTATTTTAAAATGTTCATTGTTTTAAAATAATACTTAAGCGAAAATGATAAATTATAGTTTCCATACATGTTATCACTAACCCTGAGCATGGCAGTTTTATTTATTACAATATCTATATACACATTACACTATAGACGTGACCGATATTGATTATTAGTATTATTATTTTATTATTTAAAAAAAAAAAAATAATACAATTTTACACATAATTTGGTAAGTATAACACGTGTACATAAACAGGTTTGCAAATGTCTATTTTAATTAGATTAATTGATGTAAAACGGTCATGTAAGCTGTGGATTTTAATTGTGGAGTCGGTAGCCTACCAAAATAAAATACTGTACATTAAGTTCTTGAAAAACAATGAATTGTGTTTGTTTACCCTTTTTGGTTTTATTACTATTATATTATGATTTATTATGATATTGCTAGGTGTCATTATAAATCATTTAACGATACTGTTAAAACTTTTTATGTTAAAATAATAAGTACCATTACACGTGTTGCACACCTATAACCTATTAAACATATTTGGTATTATTAGTAATATTTAATATGATAAGAAGTAATACATACTAATTATAAATAGGAAACAAATAGTAATAATAAACACTCGGGAATTGATTACTTCAACTTTTAGCAAATCATCTCGTCCATTTTGGGTTGTTGTGATAATAAAATAATAAATGACAATGCGGTTGGCTTTGTACCCAATCAATTGTGAGTATTCGGATGTCAGTCATTAGATAATCGGCTTATATTTTTAGCTGGGAAGATATTAACTCTACAATGATGTGTGTCTTTTTCGTTGTTAAACTAGTGTTATTTGTAACTGCAACTTCGATAGGTGGTAGCTTAGAACAAAATATTGTCGATGCAATTGTTTTTTTACTATGATGTGGTTTTTGTGTAGGAGTATCACTTACAATAAGCCATTCATTTTTCAAGAACATAATAAGTTGCAAAATAATTACAAAACTTGCACGGGGAAAATTTAGTGTAGTTTTGTAATTAAATAATTATCGAAGCGTTAATATTAATTAATACACTTTGAAGAGTTTTACATCCAAATTATCAAGTTTGCGTGTCACGCTCGAGTGATTGTTTTCCGGCGCGCCAAGTATCTATCTGTGTTAAGTATACCAAGTTTAATTCGTGTGTCTATTTAACTTCGGTTCCATCTGTCTCGACGTTTTGATAAATTACTTAGTTTAATAATTGTTACCTACAAATCTATCACGGCTTACACATTATTAAAACAGTCATAACACATTGTGTTCACAGTTCCCATTACTGAGCATTTGAGAGAGACAGTTGTTCGTTATTATTTACATAGTTATGTTGCAATACAAAAAAAAAAAATGCTTAAAACTGTTAAATTTAGGTATTTTTGTTAAACTCTGCCATGTTCTTTTGGTGCACGCCTTAAATACTAAACCAAGTAATACTTTATAAGTACGAGTGACTCGCTCGAATGTTATCTAAAATGCTAAATGTATATTACTATCGTTCGACGTTTAGGTTTTGCTACAATGAGCCTGTTTTTAATATTACTATATTATTCCGTGTAATATGAAATTGTACGAATATAAAAAGTGTTCAGTGCTTGTGGGGGCATCTGTTAGGAGGATTTAAATATTATGTGGTTCTACTGTGTAAAAGTTAAAGAGGATTTTATGTGCTATATAATGTAATACACAGAGCGGCCTTGTATGTGCACACATCTCATAATATCATACTGAATTCACTACCTCATTGTCATGTATAAAAGTGCCCTCGTCATATTATATTGACAATACCACATCGCGAACAATGATATAATCATTACAGTTTTTCGCCCTTAAACTTCAGACTCCCTTTGAAATACACTAACACCAATATAAGTATCGCCTGCACGTTTTAGAAGATATATATATATATATATATTTTTTTTTTTTAGTGGATTCCGCTTCAAAATGTATAATTTCATATTTAATGTTAATCAATACTTATCAATTTTACACGTTATTGGCATATAGTTTTATTGAATAAATATATTTGTTTCGGAAAAAAATAACATGAAAACTAGCTCGCTGTTAACCTTTAACTTGGTACGGTATCCTTAGACATACTCTATACATGCATACATTTCATAGGTACGACCACCCTAAAGTACTTACCTAAGTATCTCAAGTACAATAACTGCTGTTTTTTCAGGTTGATTTTATCCGGATAATTATTAAACACTTGTCTCACGCAAAATCACATAATATTTTTTTGTTTTAAATTTTCTATTTAAAATTTTTTTAACTTATAAGTTTTTATAATTCAAGGTCCCATGCAAGATAGAAAATACCTAAATATTTTTCTTCTTAATGATTTTCCATTTACGTCGAGGCTCCCAATCCTCCTTCAATGGATAATTTAACAGATTGAATAAAAAACTGGAACGGATCCACAGACGCTTAATTCGATTTTTAGGTAATAAAAAAGAAAAATTGGCAAAATAATTTATAACGGTGACGCGGCGCTTTAAGAGGACGGCTAATTTGCATTTATTAAGGGGTTACGTTTAGGCAATTATCATCACAACATAAATGTCACCAGCCATTTTAATAACACACCTCAAGGCTGTGATAATGTGCTTTTTTACAAACGATAAAAGTCAGAAATTAAAAGCTAAAACCACAGCTGTCAGTTAATTTTGCAAAAGTCTAAAAGGTATTGTTTCACTTGTTCATTACTCAAAAATTCGTACACATAGTAGTAGTTAATCTGATAATCAGGTAAAAAATCATATCCCGAAAAAAACAGTT